TACCATATCATCAAAAACTTCAATACCTGGAATAAGTTGAATAAAAATATTCAAGACAAAAAAACTACAAAATATTATTGAGATAATTTAAAGAAAGCCTAAATAAATATCTTCTTCTTAGATTGGAACACTCAATGTTAGTAAGAGTCAATTCTTCTCAAACTGACTTTTAGATTTAATGCGATCTTAATCAGAAGTCCAGCAATTTCTCTTGTAGAAATTGAAGCTCCTATTTTACAATTTCCATGGAAATGCAAAGGTCCCTAAATGGCCAAAAAAATCTCGAAGAATAAAATTGGAGAATTTATACACCAGACATTAAGGCTTCTTAGAAAACTAAAAGAGTTAAGTTTCATGGAAGAAGAAGAAAATTAACTAATGGAAGAGAATAAAGATCCCAGAAACAGACCCATACATATATGAGCACCTGATTTAGAAAAAGATGTGATTGAAGTAAACTGAAAACAGAAGTATTTTCAATAAATGGTACTGGGTCAATTAAATTTTTTTATTCTTACACAGCTGGGATATTGAATCAACTTCACTAACTCACATATGATCTCAAACACCTATTATTATAGTTTAGCCCATTCTGCTGAGCTAAACATTTCCATATCCTACTGCCTCCTGGGCATCCCTACCTTGACTCATCTACCAGGTCATGTCCAGACTAGAACTTATCTCCATCCTCCTTGCCTGACCTCTTCCCTTGGTCCTATCTCTGTGACTGGTTCAGAGTAGCATATCAAACTAAAAAGTCTAGAAAAATGTGTATTTGCCCTTTTACAGTTATTTTCTCACCTGGGACAATTATATTCTATCTGTAAAATAGATCAGAATTGATGAATTTTATCAAAAATTTAGTTTAAGTAATAATTCAGTCTGGGATTTTTCCCAGGACCCCACTAACATGGCTTCTGAGCTGTCCTTAGGAAATCTTCCTCATTTTGGAAACTAACTCTGTAACAGCATTGCCCTGTTCACTTGATTCAGAGATGCATCTCTTCATATCTTAAAGATTCTGAAGTTAAGAAGAAACATATAAACCAAACTTAAAAATATATACAAAAAACAAAAAACAAAAACTTTGCCTGTCTGCAAACAGAGAAATGAGTTGTGATGCTGCTTATACCAGGAAATATTGAATTTTAAATTTGGTAATTATTTCTTACTTTAAATGTCATCCAAAGAACTGCACCATGATACAATATGGAAAAGATAGGCTATCACTACCGAGCAATGCAATTGCCAAAACATATATAGAGTACAACATGGAATTTCAAAACTAGCGGAGGTACGTGTGGTCAATTCATGTACCAAACAGGACCATCTTTTAGACACTGAACATGTCCCTCTGTTAAAATTTCTAACTGGCTTTCAGGAGATGCTCTTTAACTTGTGAGTATACAAAAAATTAATTAAGACCAGTAAAAGTATGTCTTTAGCCACATAAGAAATGTAGATGAATGTGATATTCTTTAAAGTTCTCAAGATTGTACTGTTAATCTAAAAATAAAGATCATGAGTACATGTTATGAAAAGCAACATGCTACCATCATGCTATTATAGATGAATATGAAAGGTGAGCAGCCTGTACACTTCAAGTGTGAAGACAGCTTAGTGTGTATGAGTTGGAGAAGAAAACAGTGAAGTAAATGGACAAATACATAATACTGTGAATAAGTACAAATATTTCTGTGTAAATTTATTCTAGTCTTTCTTCCTCTTCATACCCCTCCTCTAGAAAAGCTGTTAATAGATCAATGTTTGATCAGTAGATTAACAAAGATTTGCAAAGGTTTTCCATAGGAAGGCCTTGAAAGTCAATGTAGCAGGGCCTGAATTTTGACAGACACATTCTCACCTCCAACGGCTATCTCACTTGCCATGCAAACGGAAGTGCCCTTGGGATATTCCCAGCAAGGCTAAAGAGATGAAGATGTGGGGCATGCCAGAAGGAGACGGCTTACCTCTTTCTGGCATTTCCCCTTAATCTTGAGACTGTCCCCATGTCATCATCACGGTGACTTTTGGGAAGCTGAGCAGACAATAGTTTGGGCGTAATTTAGACTTGGCAAAATTCATGTGTGCCACGTTTCCTTCTCCAATAGGTAATATGCCTGCCCAGCTTATCTGGCAGGGTCATGGTTAAATCCTAATGAGGAAATGTATGAGAAGTTCTTTTCCAAATTCTAAGTACTACATAAATGCCAATTTTTGCTAGTGTCATCATAAAAACATAATGATTTATAACACCAGGTATTAACACAAAATTCATCTTAAAATATAAACACCATACCATAGCACAGAGCACATCTAAAAATCAAAATGCGAAGCACATCCTGTGCTATTCTGATTTAACTGTGCACACTGTTGGTTGTCTGATCCCATCCGCTTTATGGGTGGCTCCAGATCTTTACTGGACTTAGATTCTATCTCAGGGATTATTCTCAGGTTTTGAATAAAGTTTCAAATGTTTCCCAGTTCTTACTCAAAGCATCATCTATTCAAGTAGTCACTTTTTTTTAACTTACCTGGTCCAATGATTTCTTATCAGTCATAGGAATATGTTTCTGTAGAGTTCACAGCAATGGCCTATCTTCCAAGAATCTTTTTTGACTCTCCCTGGATTGGGCTTCCTAGCTGCCCCTTATATCAGAAAGGCCCAATGCCTAACTTCTTCTGCCTTAGCTGAGTATACGACAGCATTGAAAAACCTGCCTTTTTTTTCTTTTTCAAAGAGGCCAACCATTTTGCACCACAAACGTTTGTTAAGTTAATCTAGCAAATACCACAAATTTCACTTAAACATAGATTAGACAAATAAATTTCTTCACAAGCTTGGAAAATTGTTTTCAGCCAAGATACCCCAAGACAGTGCAGATGGGAGATCGAACCTTCCCCAGGAGTCCTGCAGTTAAATCTGGAGGCCTCTGGAGGGCCATTAGGAGACAGCAGGAGGACTGGGCTCCTGGCCCACCCATAAGAAAAGAAAATCTCCTCCTGGCCAACCTGGAACCCTTAGAAAGTATGAAATTCTCCAAATTCTCCCAGTATTTCCCCTTTCCTATGCACAAAAATTAAACACATCTGATCATCAAATACTCCAATCCTAGAAGGCAGAGGAATTACAACTCCACTTTGACAGAGTCATCAAAGCTTGGGACTGTTTGAGATTTTGTTTTCCAAACTTACTGCTGGCCTTGAGGAAGTATGACACCACCATCTTAGGCACAAGGCAGTTGTTCATTTTTGGCTGAAATTCAGTATAAACCTTACAAATGGTCTGCTAGCTCTCTTTTTAAAAATAATAATAATTTTTGAAAAAATGTTATAGTTGCAAAACCCCCAATCTAGTATTTTCACTATAAAGTTTTCCTGCAGGACAGAAGAAAACATGAATTCTGAACAAAGTTCTGAGCCAGAATGGTACCAGGAGATTATTTCTACCAGAGAAATATAATGGGACAAATAATTAGACAAATTGAAAATCAATGGCTAAAGCATTTCCAGTAAATCACTAGAAACCAATTCTCTCTGAACTAATAAAAGACAAAAATTTAGCCAGAAATAATTTTATCTTCTTAAAGAGTCCCTTACCAGTTAAGTCATTAAATATACTTTTATTTAGCAGTGAAAATGAGACATCAGAAAACTTCCCATTCATTCTGAAATTTTGGTCTGTTCTGAAGATATCACAATGACTATATTTTACTTATTATTTAATTATTCCAGCTAAGAATTGACATACAAAATCAGTGTGTATGTTCAACACCATGAGGTGTCCATGAAGCCTGGCAAGTGTCCTTCATTCTTCCTTATTTCCCTCATTAGAGATTTGAATATGCATAAGGGCCAAATGTTGGCAGTGCTCTCAATACTAAAATAAACCTTTATGGGCAAATTAACATTCATTATTATTTTCGTGTGCATATTTGTGACAGACAGGTTTAAGTCATTCCTAAAACCTTGGGGATTCCTGGGAAACCAATAGACTTCCAGGACCAAAAGCAAAAATCTAGACTTAGTTCATAAAACCAAAGTTGGCAAATCTCTATTTATAGAGTCTATAAATGTGGGGTTCCCTCTCCCTCTGCATTCTTTCTTCCAGGTTGTCATATCACATGCTGAGTTTCCACCTCATGCACACTTAGAATTATGCAGCAATGCTAATCTACTATGCATCAGGCACTCTGTTCTCCCCAAACTGCTAAACTGACCCCTAAGAAGTAAGCAAAATTCAAGGTCATTGGCTTGTTTTCTGTGTGCTAGGTTTGAACTAACTGCTATAATACTTTATCCCTCAGCCCTTCCTCTAAAAATCACTCCGTGGAACCGTGGAAGTTTTTCTTTATTGCTAGGAAGTCCCATGAATGTATTTCATTGCAATTTTTTTTCTGAAACAACCTGGCCTCATTTCAAGAAATAAGACTAATACGCACATGGAAAAAAAAAAGTCTATTATTCTCTTGTATTTGAATAATAATAATAATAAAATACATTCGAGACACACACACATATACACATACGCTCACTTACTCAAAGATATATCATATATAAGATGTATAGCATGTGTATATATCATATGCACAAATACATAGCCTTCTATTCACTTGAATTAGTACCATTTGTAAGCATCCATACATAATTTTCACATGTGAATTTATTTTAGCCACCTTCAGCATCATTCAAAGTAGAGACTAAACAATTATGGGAAACATTTATTCCCAATAAGTTATATGTTCTCTGATCATAAAGAATGCTTAGTAAACACCATTCACTGGCTTTCTTAGAAAAAGAAAACTATTTGAAAAATCTTCAACTTAATAGCAAAAAATCTTCCTGCTGGCTAAATACTACAATTCAGAATACACCCCTCATCATGCTCATGTGTGGCCCCTGAACTTCAAATCACCTTCCACAGACATACTCAGGGTTATATGATGACAGGCTAGAAAAGGGGGCCAGCCCCACCCTTGGGGTTCCTTGAGTCTTCATACCTGTGCTGATGCTCCTGTAAGACTTGATAAATGCTGATAAGAAAAGTTTGGTTTTTAAAACTCCCCACAACACAGTCCTTGTAGATTCGGAATTCTGCAGCCGTCACCGCCTCACCCTCAGGAATCTGGGATAAGTTGAACTTGAACTCTTTGTGGTGTCGCTGGCGAGGGGAGAACTCCTTGTCGTACTCCACTATAAGATTAAACAAGAGAGAGTGACAACTATTGTTACTTGACTAAGTGCCACAGACTCACCTCAAAAAAAAGTCTCTCCGTTGTAATTCATAAGTAGATTACCGGTCACCAATGGCTATTAGAGGGATGGGTTGGTGAAAAGAACATTGGCTAAGCTGTCAGACAGGCTGGGATTAAAATCCTTCATTTTACTCAAGGATTAAATAAAATTCTTAGATTTTACTTCATTTAAATACTTTAAATACTTAGTTTAAGTTGCACGAAAGCAAGTTATTTAAATTTTTGACCTCAGGTTTCCTCATCTGCAAAAAAAAATGGGAATAGTATGACTTCACAGGGAGGTTGTAAGAATAAGGAAAATAATGAATAAGAATGCATCTGGCGATCCTGATCCCTCTTATCCTCTTCCAGCCCCCTTTTCTTCTTGCTGATTTTCCCCTCTCAAGTTAGTTCATCTCTCACCATCAGCAGTTGACAAGACCAAGGATAGCCCTGAGCTGACCTTTGGCAGGGGTCGTGCTGGTGGAGAGAAGAGTGAGCAGTGCATTTTGCCTGGGCCTGAAGCTCCAATGTCCTCAAACTTTGCCTGTTATTCAGTGAAACTTTTGTTGAAGGGTGTAGGGTAAAGCTTCATAGAAAATGTTGCTCTAACTAAAGTCGACTACCTTCTCTCTGCTGGTGGAAACTGAGGGCTGATGGACTCTGAGGGGAGGGACCTCTGTGCTGTGAAGCTGCTGGAGTCTCCATTTAATCTGTGCTTAGAACCCAAGTATAAGAACAGGGATGTGGAAGTAAATCACCAATGCAACTTGCTATTTTCTAATTTTTTTTTTAAACTGGGAATTAATTAAGTCTAAAAGCTGGTTTTTTTTAATGAAATATTTTCCCTGCATGAAGAGAAAATTATGAAAAACTAAAACTACCCATTACTATTTTTCAGAGTTGGCTTTCAGGTGTCTATATAAAGTCCTATGTGAGAGAAATGTTATCAACCTCAGATGCTTAACTCATAATCGTAGTAAAAGAGAAAAAGTAGTGCTCTGCTTCCCATCATAAATCTTTGGCTCTTTTACCCAGACTTTAGAAATGCTTCTGCCTTGCTGTTCCTGTTAGATTTTTTCTTAATGGCAACTTCAGTGAAATCTCATGAGCAAATTAATCCTTTATGGCAAAGTTTTCCCAGGGATTGCGAGTAGGAAAAAAATCAAATTATTTGCCACCTCCAACTGCCCACTTCCTCCCACATGTGTTGTTCTCCATAATCACCAGAGAAAGCTTTGGAGATTTAGCTTCTTTAAAAAAAAAAGAAAGCCAATAACTCTTAACAAGAACTTAAGACTTCAATGGCATTTGCAGAAGCTAAGGAAAGTTAAGCCATCTATAGGTATGAGATTTTAAATAAGGAATTTCTGAAACTGCCATGTGACTATGCAACAAATCTTTTAGATTCAAGTTCTCTCTCTCTCATAGGTATACAAGAAATAAACACAATTTGGTCACTGCCTACACATGTATTTGAAGACCACGATGTACAATAATAATATGTTTCCAATGAGCTTAGCATCCCCCCTTTAAGCATGATGATTCTGAACTCCTTAAACATCACAGGGTTCAAGAAATATGAGAGATGGCTGAATTCTGAATTTAGTGCCTAGTACCTACTCTATAGCCCCTAGCATTTGGTTTTCCAATAGTGGTGCCATGTGTAGTATACAATTAAGTAAGGCTAAGAGTGTTGATGACATGTCAAACTGCCAAACTGGTTTTGGATTCAGCTCCCTTTCTTCTTATGTGACACTGAGCAAGATATTAGTCAAAATTCCAGTTATTGGTTAAAAGAGAATAACATTTCTAAAGATTAAGTAATACAATCTATACAGAATAATCAGTGGTAGAGTAAATGCTCAATAAATGTTAGTTGTAATTATCATTAGCTGATATTTGAGAATATAGCTCCTCTGAGCTTAGAGTATGTCATTGCTCAGTAATTCAAATTTACTAACGAGTCTTTAGATAGGGCTAATTAATACTTCTGCTAATTTAGCTTTTTAAATTAGAGACATGCATTCTGTGAAAAGGGCAGTAAATGAAATCACCATATAGAATGTCATCAGCTTTGGTGTTTGGCTACCCGATACAGGACTGCGTTCTCCAAGGCAATAATTCCTAGAATTTTTCATTTCAAGGACTAGTGAAAATATTTTTTAATGGTAATGACCTTCCACAAGGTCATCTATTTTTGTTTGCCATTTGTAAGTACAATAAAACAAACAAGACAACAAACTGTATTTTAACTCTATGATTTCATTTCTAAAGGTCCTTCTAACACCAGATAAAAAAGGAAGGACATAATTGAAGTATACAATCCTTGAAATTGAATAAATTTAGCTTTATAAAACTCGCTCTATTCTCTTTTTGCCTCAGACTATACCAGCTGAAATTTCGGACCAGCATCAGACCTTTGGCCAACAATAAAAGTTACTGATTTAAGGTTTATAATGTAAATTATATAATATTACACATACAAAATGATACATGTAATTTATGGAGGTAACAAAGCATAAATATAAAGCACCAAGGAAAGGAAATCAGTACCCAACTGAAAAACTGGAACATGACCAATACCATGGTATTCCTCCCTGAGAGTATTCCCCCCACCTCTCTCCAAATGGTACCTAGTATCATGAATAGTATCTAGCATTCCCTCGCCTTTTGAAAACTAAGTTTTACTATGTATGTATGTCTCTACATAGTGTTTAGTTCTTTTTTCCCTTAAAGTCTTCCTTTCGGACATGATGGAAGGTTTGCAGGCACATGATGAAAATATAGATACAGTCACAGCTAAAAGTGAAGGCAGCCTAGGCAGATGGCCACACTACCTGTCAGCTGCTGAGGGACTGAATTTCTGAGTGGGATATGGCTGTTTTGCAGGAAATAGGTGATCATTAAACTCTTCTCTTTCAGCTCTACCTTGTATAAATCCATTAAAAACACAGGCATTTTGTCAACAGTTGTTGGTAAGAATGTGGAGAAAGCAGAACTCTTATGCATTGCTCATGGAAATGTAAAATGGTGCAGCCCCTGAGGAAAACAATGTGGCGATTCTTCAAAAAATTGAATGTAGAATTACCACATGATTCAGTAATTCTTCTTCTGAGTATTTGCCCAAAAGAAGTGAAAGTAGGGACTCAAATATTTTTACACTCATGTTCATAGCAGCATTATTTACAAAAGCCAAAAGGTGGGAGCAACTCAAGCATCCATTGACAGATGAATGGATAAACATGTGGCATATACATACAATGAGTTCAGGCTGCTATAACAAAAATACTACAGACTGAGTGGCTTAAATGATAAACATTTATTTCTCACAGTTTTGGATGCTGGAAGTCCTTGGAGATCACGGTTCTAGCATGGTCAGGTTATTGGTGAGGGCCCTCTTCCTTGTTATATCCTCAAATAACCTCCTTGGTGCATGCATGCAGAGTGTGTCTAGTCTATTTCTCCTCCTATAAGGACACTAACTCCATCATGAAGTCTCTACACTCCTGACCTCATCTAGACCTAATTACCTCCCAAAGGCCCCACCTCCTAATACCATCTCACTGGGAATTTATGATCCAACAATATGAATTATGGGGGGGACACAGACACACAGTCCATAACATTGACCTTAAGGTTTCACATCATTTGTTCTGCTACCTTTCGAATTTATGATTTGGAATTTTTGCATTTGTGTTTATAAGTGACACTGGTAATGGTCTCATCACATGCAGTGTTATTTGATTTTAAGTTATACTTGTTCTTGGAATAAGTTGGGGAATGTTCTCTCTGTTTCTTGTCTCTTTCTTTCCAAGAAATGATCTCTTCCTTGAAAGTTTGGCAAACTTATCTATAAAATCATTTGATCCTAGTGTTTTCCTTGGGGAAAATTTTTAATTATTTATTCATTTTCCTTTAAACATGTAGAAATATTCCAGCCATCTATTTCTTTTTTAAGTCAGTGTGAATTTTCTAGAGGTTTATCAATTTGGGATAAATTTTTCAAATTTATTACCATAAAGTTTTTCAGAGTGTTCTCCTCTCCTATTATTTAATCTCTGCTCTATGTTTGTTTGTTTTTTTAATTCTAATATTGTGGATTTCCTTTGTCTTGATTCATCTTATTGGAGGTCATTTTCTTTTTATTCTTTACTACTGCTTAATTTGATTGTGATAAAGATATTTTAGTAGAGGTATTTTATGAATATCATCTCATTCTGTCTGAATTGTTTCAATTAAAGTTGTCTAGAGAAAAACACAGACAGTACCTATTTCAAATGCAAATACGAAGGAGAAAAGAAAGGGGAGAAAGGGAGAAAAAAAGAATAATCTCTATATATAATACATTTAAGAGTAGTCACATGTTTATTATTTTTTCACTAACTTGGGCTCACTTGATAATTCAAATTCTACTTTTTCCAAATGCTTCATGATTCTACTTGCAGTTACACAACAACCTTGAAAAACTTGAAACTTTTTAAATTGCCATTCTATTGACTACTGTCAACAAGTTTTCATGCCATAGCATGTTTATTTAATTTTAGGCAACAAGGACAGTTCTGGAGTCTTTCGAGGGTTGTAACAACAGCAGCCTTTTGACTTTTATGCTGCAAGCGTACAACCTCAAATAGTAATAGAGATACTGAATTGAACTCTCTCACTCACTTTCTAACCACAGTGAGATGGCAGACTTTATTCTCCAAGATTCACCAAATATTTCTAAATATTTGTATTAATGTTCTATGAGAATCAAAATATCAAAAAGAATCTATTTTCCTGGTTGCCATGCTCCAAGTGACTTTTTTTTCTAAACTTCTTTTTATTTCAAATAATTATAGGCCCACGAGTAGTTCCAAAAATAGTAGAATTGTTTTAAAAAAAATAGTAGGGAGATCCCAAGTAACATCTTACATAACTGAAGAATAGCAAAACCAGGAAATTGACATTGGCATAATA